TGAGTTTCAAATTCTTCATAGATTGATTTTTTAAAACACAAAGGGAAAGGAATGAAGCAGCTGGTATTTTTATTAGAGAAGTTTAAATCCCTAACTGGCAAGGCAGGCCCAATCCTCAGCTCCCTCTGCCTCTCTACTAAGAATACAGTGGTTTTTCACCCCATGAAGTACAATACGTACAATCTGAAAAGTTACGCCTGCAAGGACGAGGGAGCTTTAAGCCCTGTCGTCAGAAACTAGCATAACAGTGTGTGTGTGTGTGTTGGGAAGGAGGGGACAGCTGGCTGCTGCTGGAAGGAGTGACTCCCACAGCCTGTGGCTCCTAGGCCCCCTGGCCATCCCTAGGAGTGGTGGGACCACCTCCCAGTCCCACCCAACTCCCTCCTGTGGTTGTCTCTTTGCTCCCCTCTCTGCTGCTGGCCCCATGGCTTGACCCAGTGACCTGAGACGTTGCCAGGCCCTGACACTGCAGAAGGCCAAGGATTGTGGCTCCAAATAGAGCTGAAATGAATAGTTTCTTTTCCAAAACAATTCTGTGAGCCAAGAAAGTGTCTGTGCAGATAAAGCGTGCAGTCAGTCGCGCACAGGGAGCCCCAGTCCTGTCTTGCATGCTGTCTGAGCGGCTGGCGTTGTGCCTGGAGTGCTGAGTGGTGAGGCTGTCCTCACAGCCTTCACTGTGCACCTGATCTTGGCCCGTTTCTTCAGATTGTGGTTCAGCTGCAAATCCTGGTTTGGCAGCAAAGATTGAAATAGGAAATCTCACCCCTTAGTGTTGGCTTTAGTATTGTCCCATGCTCTTCTCCTCCTTAGCAAGGTGGGAGCCTTCCAGCCTCAGGAGCAGGCTGGCTGAGGGGGAGGCGGTAGGTAGAGTTTTTCTGATTCAGTTCTCTCTGCGTGATTATTTCCCTTCAATGCAGCTAGGCCAGTCTACACCTCCTTCCTGTCTGCCTGGCCACATCTTGCCATGGGTTCCCTTTAAAGTCCACTTCCTCCAGGAAGCATTCCTTGACCATCTGTCTTAGTTCATTTCCTGTTGCTATAACAGAATCCCTGAGACTAGGCAATTTATAAGGAAAAGTTGTTTATTTGGCTCACAGTTCTGGAGGCTGGTAAGTCCAAGAGCACGGCGGCAGCTTCTGGCCCTTGCTTTTGTGCTGTGTCATAACATGGCAGAAAATCAGAAGTGCAAGTGAGCACGTGCTAAAGAGACCTCAGGGCACCAACTCACTTCCTCAAGAGCTAACTCATTCCTCAAAGGCGTTAATCCATTTATGAGGGCTCCGCCCTCCTGACCTAATTGCCTCTTAGAAGGCCCTACCTCTTCATACTGTTCAATTAAGTTTCCAAACACATGGACTTTTGGGGGACACATTCACACCATAGCACTATCTTGTGATTGTCAGCTCTTTTGAGCTCCTGTGCAAAGGATGTGTATGGCTCGCATGGAACACACTTAATTCTGTGCTGTGTGTTAGTCATCTCTTCTCCGTCTATATACTTTACCAGCCCAGCTCCTAGAAGACAAAGATTATGTTGTTTATTTGTAGCAATCATAGAATTGGATCATAAGAAGCATTCAATTAAATATCTCTCATTGCATTAGGTTCTCTAGCTGAGTTTTTCTTATATTAGCTTTACTGGCTGGTCCCTAAAGGGCATATTGTGATAATAACAGCCTGTATCACTGCCACTCCCACGCCAACTGTCATCACTCCTGTATTGCCTTAGAGATTCTATAACTGTTTCACATTCATTATTTTCATTTGATCTTCATATCCATCCTTTTAAATAGATGGAGCAGGTATTAAATTTCTTTCCCTAGTGGTTGAAAACACTGAGGTTCAGAGAGGTCAAATGACTGGCCCAGGGTCACACAGCTGACGTTGAGTCTAGGAAAACCAATGATCTCATTCAGACCACAGGTACATGCGTGCGTGTCAAATGCACTTTGTGAATAGAGGGCTCACACAATGTTACAAAGAATTATGATGAATTGCAGAAAAAGGGCTACTGCAAGATTGAAATGGTTAAACCAAGAGGGAGTGACCCAGCTGGATGGTTTGGTTGATAGGAGCCAGAGAGTTGGTTGCGTTGAGGGGCCCTCTGGGTGCAGTTGCATAGCAGGCAGCAGGAAGTGGCTCTGAGGAGGGTAGCAAGGACAGAGTTAACGGCCGAGGAAAGACCTTTGTTCTTCCTGTAGTTCTCTACGTACACCCTGATATTTCTGGCCTCCATCCCTTTGCTGATGCTGTGCCCTCATCCTGAGATGCCCCTCCTCACTCGCCAGAGCTTGAGGCTGTATTTCCACTTGTCTCCTATGCATTTCTCTGCATACATTCCAGCAGCAAGGAACAAACTGAAGTTTTCTTCTTCCAAAACAGGCTGCTGCTTCTGCGTTTCTATGTTGGATACTGACACCACTATTTGCTTGGCAGAGGGGCAGGGAACCTTGGAATCATGTTCTCTTGTCCTCACCAAATTGTATGCAATCTCCTGGTACAAGAGAGTCCACAGCTATAGTGCTTCTCGCCACCATACTCTCTTACCGCCTCATTGCTTCTGCCTGGGCTGTTGCTATAACCAGCTCACGGGCCTCTCGTCTCAGCACGCCGTCCTTTGTGCTGCCATCTATGGTCTTGTACAACAAGGCAGACTGATGCTCCTCCCCGAGGACTCCCAGTTGCCTATGGAATGACGCTGAAGGCCTGCTGTGTCCTCGGCCTTCTTGCTCTTCCCCATGCATACCAGGCATTTTTATCCACGCGCGCCTTCGCATGTGTGATGGAGGGAGGAATCCCAGATGGCTGCAGCCTGGACTGCTGAGTCAAGACACCAAGCGAAGGCTGGGCGCGGTGGCTCACGCCTGTAATCCTAGCACTCTGGGAGGCCGAGGCGGGTGGATTGTTTGAGCTCAGGAATTCGAAACCAGCCTGAGCAAGAGCGAGACCTCGTCTCTACTAAAAATAGAAAGAAATTAACCAGACAACTAAAAATATATATAGAGAAAAAATTAGCCGGGCATGGTCGCGCATGCCTGTAGTCCCAGCTACTCGAGAGGCTGAGGCAGGAGGATCGCTTGAGCCCAGGAGTTTGAGGTTGCTGTGAGCTAGGCTGACGCCACCGCACTCTAGCCCAGGCAACAGAGCAACACTCTGTCTCAAAAAAACAGAGTATGAATTCTGGACCCAGACTGGGTACACACATCAGCTCTGCCACTTACCAGCAGTGGGACTTTCGATGAGTTGCTTTATCTTCCAGGACCCCTGGTCATATCTGCCCCCCAGTACCTAGCAGAGCACCTGATACCATAATTAATTGTTAAATAGTACCTGTTTGCCAGGCTTCTGTTTTGTTTTTTAAGAGATGGGGTCTCAGGGTCTCCCTCTGTTGCCCAGGCTGGAGTACCGGGAACGGGGGACAAAGACCAAATATTTATTGTTTTTTATTATACCACAACAAATGATACTGGTCTATAATTTTTTCCTTCTTGTAATATCCTAGTCCAGTTTTTCTATCAAGGTTATGTTGGCCACATAAAAAGAGTTGGGAAGGATACTCTGTTTTTCTGTTCTTTGGTAGAGTTTGTGCAAGATTGGTGTTACTTCTTTAAATATTTGGAAGAATTAACTCATGAAGCCATCTGGGCTTGGGATTTTCTTTGTGAGAAGTTCTTAAATAATAGATTCAATTTATTTATTAGATATTGGATATTCAGATGTTCTTTTACTTCAGTGGGCTTTGGAAAGTTGTATTTTTCAAGCAATTTGTCCATTTCATCCAAATTGTCAGTTTTTGTTAATATTCTCTTATCTTTTTGATGTCCATAGGATCTGTACTGACATCCTCTACTAAAACAGAAAAATTAGCCAGGCTGTGGCCTACATCTGTAGTCCCAGCTACTTAGGAGGCTGAGGCAAGAGGATCACTTGAGCCCAGGAGTTTGAGGTTGCAGTGAGCTACAATGACACTACTGCACTCTACCCAGGGCGACAGAGTGAGACTCTGTCTCAAAAAAAAAAAAAAGATAGAAAATAAATCATTGATTTTCAGCCTTTCCATTTTGTTAAATATACACATTTTTAAGTTTATAAATTACTCTGTATGCCCTACATTAGCTGCATCTGATAAGTTTTAATAACTTATGTCTTTTTCTTGTCACATTCAGTTCAAAATATTTTGTAATATCTGTTTGGATTTCTTCTTTAATCTATGGATTACTTAGAGATATAATTTCTAAATAAGCGGAAATTATCTTTTTATTATTGATTTCTGACTTAACTCCATTCTGGTCAAACAATATTCTCTGAGTGATTTCAATGTTTTGAAATTTTTTTAAAACAAGTTTTCTTTATTGCCCACTACATGATCAATTTTGTTTTGTTTCATGTGCACTTCAAAAGTAAATTCTATCATTGTGGGTACAGATTTTGATATATAACCAAGTCAAGTTTGTTAATTGTATTATTTAGAGCTATACCCTTACTGTTCTTTTATCTTCTTGTTTATAAGCTATTGAAAAGTATATGTTACAGTCTTCCACTATGATTGTGGATTTGTTTCTCTCTTTTTTGAGTTAATTTTTGCTTTATGTATTATGAAGTTATATTATTGAGTATATACAGATTTATGATCTGATATCTATCTGTTGGATCGACCCACTATGATATGTATCTTTTTATTTCTAGTAATGCTTTTTGCCTTAAAGCCTTATTTGGTAATAATATAGATATACCTGCTTTCTTTTTGTTAGGGTTTTCTTTTTTTTCTTTTTTGAGACAAAGTCTGACTCTGTTCCCCAGGCTGGAATGCAGTGCATGATTGTGGCTCACTGCAGCCTTGATCTCTTGTGCTTCAGCAATCCTGTCTCAGCCTCCTGAGTAGCTGGGACTACAGGTGCCCACTACCACACCTGGCTAATTTTTCTTATTTTTTTCTTTAGAGACAGGGTCTCACTATGTTGCCCAGGCTGGTCTCGAACTCCTGGCCTCAAGTGATCCTCCCACCTTGGCCTCCCAAAGTGCTGGGATTACAGGTGTGTTATTTTTTATTCTTGTAGATTTTTGTTATATCTACACATATATTTATAATAAATTCCATAAGACATTATACCTGTTGGGTTGACACTTAATATTCTTTAATAATTACCCATATATTCATCGTTTTTGGTATTCTTCATTCCTCCCTGCATTTCCGTGTTTCCAACTATGATCATTTCATTTTCATTCTGCAGACTTACTGACCATGAGTTCCTCTGGCCTGTTTTAAAAATTTTTGCTTGTCGTTTTATGCTATCAGTTAGGAAAAAAATTATATTTGACCAAAATATTTGGCCTTTGTCTTATCCCCCTTCCTTATTCAAATCATTCGCAACCATAAAATTGGGGAACACTATAATAGCTCTTAGGGGGGAGGCCAAAGAGCCTAAAAAACATTAATTGAGAATACTCCATGAAGGCGCGGAAGACCAAAGTAAAAAAGCATTATGATTAATATGTCGTATGAGTGTACATATTTTCTAATTGAAATATGGTATTCACTCAGAAAACATGTGCAGATCAATACGTTTTCACAAACAGAATGTAGTACATATATCTTAAAACATTAATTTCTCTTTAAAGAAGCAGAATTGTGCATCTCACGAACACATTACTTACTATTCAAGCAGACGGCTTCCAGAGCAAGTGTGTGTGACTTCACACCATGTGGCCGTCCTCATCAGACCTCCCCGACTGCCCCATCTGTGACTTGATGTCTCTCTTCTTGTCAAGGTGCTCGCCTCGATTCAATTCGTCTCTGTGTCAGGCAAACGAGCCAAGGTCATCAGCCTTCTGGCTTCCTCCGCCCTGAGCCATGCTTCACGGCCCTCTCTCTGCCTGCTGTTCCTCAGCTGATCTGGAGCCCTGATGTCACTCATGGCTGCTCCATGAAGTGGCTTGGTCATGGCAGTGCTGCCTCTCACTGACTGCACCATTTGTTAGCTGTGGTTTATCCTCCCGGGGACTATAAAGGCTTGTGCCAGTGATGACTGGTCCAGCAACAAGAGCTTGAACTGTTTGGGAGGAAAGACTGAATATTAAAATTTTAGCGGTCACCATGCATTAAGCACCTACTGTTGTCAGGTTCTCTGCCTGAGTCTTCTATACAGTGTCTCATGAATCCTCACAACAATTCGTTGATTATTGCTATCCCATTTAAAATTAAGAAACGGAAGCTCAGAGAAGTAACTTGGCTGAGGTCACACAGCTAGTGAATCCCAGAGGGTTTGGATCAGCCTAACTCGTGCTCTTTGCTGTAGGTCCAACGTCTTCTCCTTATGTCTCAGCTGCTGACACGTCGTGACTCAGCTGTTACCAATTTCCCTGGAAGCCCTGGAAAGGCCACCCAGGCCCGCTCTCTCACTGGTTTATGTTGAACTGATGGGGAGACTGTGGCTTCGATCAGGTCAGTGGTTGTCATCCACACCCACGTGCCAGTCATCTCAAACCACCCACACTTCTCCAATGGTATCGGGGTGTCCCCACCGCTCTGCTTTTGCTAACAAGTTTCCCTCTGCTGGAAGCCCCCTTTCTCCTCTTTTCAAGCTGTTAATGATCTCTTCAGCATTCAAGGTCCGCCCCAAACATCATTCCCGTCTAAAGCTTTCCTGAGCTTCTGCAGCCCAGAGTTCACCATTTCTGCTGTGCAGAGGAGAGTTACCACAGCAGGCCTGAGACTGCTGTCCTTAGAAAGGCCTGCTTCCAAGGTTGGCCCTTGGCTGGCATTTAGGAACTTGGATTTCGGGAGGGTTACCATGAGTTCCTGATAAGGGTGGCTCACTGTGCCCAGACTGTACAAACCATGTGGTTTATGTTGAACTCCTTCTGGAGTCTGGAATCTTGGTACATGGTAGGCAGAGGCTGCCCATATGACCAGCCCCAACAAAACCTTTGGGCACTGAGTCTCTAATAAGCTTCCCTGGTTCACAACATTTCATACTTGTCATTACGCACTGCTGGAGGAATTAAATGTGTCTGGTATGATCCCACTGAGAGAAGACTTGGAAGCTTGCTTGCACGTGGTGGTTTTCAGACTTTGCCCCATGTGACTTTTCCTGTTCCTAATTTGGTGTTATATCCTTTCACTGTAATAAATCACAGCCATGGGGATGACTATATGCTGAGTCCTGTGCGTCCTCCAAGCAAATCACTGAACCTGGGGAGTCTCGGGTGGTCTCGGGAATCCCCAACACACCTGCCGTATGTCCTGCCGTATGTCCGAATATGGATTTCCAGCATTAACACCTCGAATGTGTCGATGCTCTGGTTTATGTGTCCCTCACTCCCGCTGTCACAAAGGCAGGGTCTGCATCTTCTTCTTTGTCATTCCTGAGTTGGTATGAAATTCAGTTCTGTCGCCCACCAGAGGGTTTTCCCAGGTGGGTCACCTAAACATTTAGCTTCACAAGACTCCCATAAGCCATACGTGTCACCCAATTCCTCATAAAGATGTAGAACAGGAAGTGCAGATGCGCAGCACGGCAGATTTGAGGGTTCCTTTTCTAGGGGAGTCCATGCAGCAGTCCAAAAAGCTATCTTTTCTCCAGGTGACTGCTCAGATACAGGAGATGAAATCCAAATCAGGTGGAACCCAGCCTGGCTGAAAGGCCTCGTTTCCCACAGGAGCCACTGTTTCTTGTAACAATTGCATGGGCGTGGCTTCTAGAGCCCCTGCAGTTGTGAGTCACCACTGTCAGGAAAGTCCAAAGCTATGGCTTCCCATCAGGGATTATAGTTCTCCCAACCAGGTGCAGTTGACCAATCAGGGGTCACTTTTACCTTAAGTATTATTAAGTATGTCTGGCAACAAAATTGACATACCACCTTAATAGGTTACCAAGGGAACAGAGGGAGAGAGTTATGGCAGCCAGCCTCCAAGACCATCCCCCAGTGTTCCCTGCAACCTGTGTTCATGCTTTCTCACATCACAGCCTGTGTAATCACATTGGGGAAATGATGGTGTATGACTTCTGAGGTTAGGTCATAAAAGATATCATGGCTTCTGCCTTACTCTCTTGAATCATTTGTTCCAGGGGAAGCCAGCTGCCGTGTTGTGAGGACGCTCAAGCAATCCTATGCAGAGGCCCACATGGTGAGGAACTGAGGCTCCTGCCACCAGCCATGTGAACGCACCATCTTGGAAGTGGATCCTCCAACTCCATCCAAGCCTTCAGATGAAGAAGCCCGGACCAACATCTCAACTGCAGTCTCATGAGAGACCCTGAGCCAGAACCATCCACCTAAGATGCTACCAAATTCATGATCCGTAGAAACAATGAGATGATAAGTGTTTGTTGCATTGAGCCACTAAGTTTTGTGGAAATTTGTTACTCAGCAATAGACAACTAATATGAGAGTCGGCTGAGGGTCACATTCTCATTCAGTAGTGGGCTTTGTTAACCCTTTGCCTACTGTGGTTCACTTAATAAATTCTCGACGAATAAAGAGTGAAAATGAGCACAAAAGTGCCCAACAAATTTTTGTTCTTTCTTGGATGAGGGAAAGGTCTGGAACTAAAATAATGTAAAATTGGGAAAGGGTGATGGGGATGGTCAGACTGATATACAAGCAGTGAAAATGAATGAGCCAGAGCTAAACACAACCACATGGATTAATATTTGCTACATAATGTTGAGTGAAAAAAGCTGGTCCTAAAATACAGTGAGACACCGTTTTGATACAGTTTTTTAAAAAAAGTAAAACCAAACAATATATTGTTTAGATATAAATAGACATGATAAAACAAACAGAAAACTGCAAAAAGGAAAGGGTATGGCATTAATAAAGTTTAAGATAATGGCCACCCGTGGGACAGGGAGGCAGGAGGATTGGTTAGAGCGTGTTGGTAAGTGTAAGTTATTGGTCATATTGGTTCATGGGTATTCCTAATACTATTAAATACTAAAAGAATGAAATCCATAGAAAGGGCCATGCATGGAACAAAGATGTTTGTGTGCCAGGGACTGAGAATTATGATTAACCCAATTCAATGAGCCTGACGTCCAATAAAAAGTGGTGATGGGAGTGAAGTCTAAGGCCTGAAGAAAAGGAGGGATGTTGAAATTTTAAATACTGAGAGTTAAATGTGAAATGAGGGCAGGTAGCCAGTGGGATGGACACCACTATAAACAAAATGTATGATTTTGCTATTTGAGAGTAAAAGGCAGCACGATTTCAGGGCACTTAGCATGTTAAGATGTGGAAATAATGATACATTTTATAGCCTGCTGGAAATCTGTGTCTGGGTCATCTTGGCATTGCTCACAAGGGGAAGGAAAGACACAGGCAGAGAGAGCTTTGAGGAGCCCAGAATGACAATGAATCAAAGGTGTGCGCTATGAGCAGGGGCTGGGGCACCCTCGGGCCTAGAGAATTGTGTTCCTTACTTCCCTCTTTTCAATCAGATGAGTTCTCTGTGTTCATATTTGAGAGTCTCTCGTTTTAACTCTTGTCTCAAAGCAATCTTTGCTTCTTACCGTAATGATTAGGTAGAGCTGGGGGGGTCCTGAAATTCCTGCCTGAGCCAAGTGTCCACTGGCTTAGGACACATACTCGCTGACACATGAGCCTCTTCTAGAAGCAACCGCTTCTTTGTGCATGCATATGGAAGGAGGCCTGTACATAGGTAGGTGATGTTGGGTTTGTAAAGAAATCAGCATAGAATTGTAGTGAAAATCCTAAGAAGAAAACACAGTATCTCCAAGGATATAAGAAAAAAGAAAATGAAACCAGAGTCTTCATTAACTTCCAAGGGCGGTAAGCTGGGGCGGGCTCTGAGAAAGTCAGATCAGAGCACAACGTGTTCAGTCTAGCCCAGCAGAGACTAATTTTAGCATCTCTTTTCCCACTCTTGGGACTGTGCACCTTGCCCTAGCTTGCTGGTCCGAGCCCACTGCTCTCCTTCCCCTGCTAACTCTCCACAAGCTCAAACCTCCTTCCTCTCACCCACTATCCTGAATCACCCCACATCTCTCCAGAGCTTCCAACACAGCAGAGCTTCCTCTGCATTTGCTGGGTGAAGGTGAGGACCACCTGCTGCAGTGTGAGCCGCTCTCGTACCTGCTCTTCTGGGTTCAGCCTCTCATGACGCAGCTCTCGGGTCTGCTCAAAATCTCACGGGCTATTGGCATCACCTGGTATGAGACTTTCCTAAAGCATGGACATAAGATCTTTTGGCTGAATTTCTGTCCCCAGTTTTCTTCTTTTTCCACCTTTGCTATCTGGGGTCCCTGTTGCTCAAGTGGAACACGGGGACTCTAGTTTCTTGGGTCCTTCCATTTTGTGGTCATTATTTGTTCCAGATGGATTCTGCAGAGATCAAACCCGAAGAGCTCTTCAAATGCCTAATGATTCCTCTTTAGGGCCACTCCTCAAGTATAAGTTATTATCAATGTAGATAAAAGACAGCTATTGTTGGGATCACATATAAAATATATACCAAGCCAGTCACTACAGGGAATTTATAATTAGAAAGGGAGGCTGGGCATGGTGACTCACACGTGTCATCCTGGCACTTTGGGAGGCAGGAGGATTGCTCGAGGCCAGGAGTTCGAGATCAGCCTGGGCAACATAGTAAGACTCCCTCTGTACAAAAAATACAAAAATTAGCTGGATGTGGTGGCATGTGCATGTAGTTGCAGTTACTCAGGAGGCTGAGGCAGGAGGATTGCTTGAGGCCAGGAGTTTGAGGTTGCATTGAGCTATGATGTTGCCCGGGCTACAGTGTGAGACCCTGTTTCTAAAAAAAAAGAAAAAGAAAGAAAGGGAGAAAATACTGAATAGCTACTAAAATAATGATAGCTATAATATCTCAACAATGGACAAAATTAATTTTGACCATCTGTCCTGTGGAACTGAAGGACATTTGACTAAGAAATTACGTGTAGTAAGTCTTAACATCAAGTACAATGTCACAGAGAAAAGGAGATTATCAAGTAGATTAACACACATCCTGGTTCTTGGATGGGTTACACAGGGTCCACACAGATACTTAAATTTTAGAAAGTGCAGATATATAGAAGAAACTCAGTTATTTCTAGAAAATACCCAAGAGATTATCTATGAAGACCCCAAATACAAGTTAGGTGAACAGGGTGCAACTTCAGAGAGGCATAGCTGGATAGAGGCTGTAAACAGAAAAGCTTAAACTAAATTCATTGCACTGTAATTTAGCTTGAGAAGAGCATGTTCACATGGGGAGAGCTCTGAAAGGGATGCTCAGAGACAAAATGACTCATCTCACCCTTAATACCACAGAAAAGAGCGCCTGTTAACCATGAAAACTAATCAGCCATCTTGACAGGTACATTCTAGACACCCGAAGCCATTAAACTTGGATATCACTCTACCTGTTCTGATTCTATACTATGTGTTTCAATATAATGTAGTATAAGCATCTCATCTCCCATGTAGATCTTCCCACGGTAAAGGAATACACTGTTGGTAAATACAATTATCCAGTGTAACTGATAATTATATTTTTCACTAGAATGGAATTAACTCACACTCTGGATTTATACATCAACCTCTTTTGAATTTGGTCAGCATTAGTGTGTCTTCTGGAGCCTGTTAACCTCTGTGCGAACTAATGAAACTAGCTTTTTGGCCCCATAGAGTGAAGGACCAGACACCGGAACAAGGACACTTCTAGGATTGTTGCCAGTCATTCTGAGGCAGGTCTTATTTGAAACTGTGACAGTTCAGTAACACACTAGTAAGTCACTTCAAAGCTCTACTTGAAGGAGCTTTGTGCCAAACACGTGAAACTACCTTATTAAGGGTTTCTATTGGTACTTCAGTAACTAAGCTATCTTGATTGATGTTCAACACAAGCATTGTTCTAAACTTTATTCTATAACGTCAGAGCAAGAGTCCAGTGAATGTCACTTAATGCATACAGACAACACATTTAAATAGTTTTTAGCTGCATTCTATTTATACAGTGAGAAAATATTAATCTTGTGTTACTACAGTAGGTCCATCTAGGAGTCCATGAACACATTTCCTAGACTCGTCATCAAGAATCCCCGAATGTACTGAATTGTAGAATTTCCATCTGGCACAATCCACATTTTTCCAAATAATTATTTCCATTGTTTTACAAGTAATTATATATTAATGTTTGCTTGATAATATTGAGATGTTACTTGCTGTTCATGATGTATGTAGGTGAAAGGGCAAGGAGAATAGACTTTGTTCCTTTCCTTTCCAACTGTTGTATCTCTTGTGGTACTTCATTGATTAAGGACTATTTTCTGGAATGTACATAAAACTGAAACTATCCTTACTGGAATCCAGTTAGATGATTTCTCAAAAGTAGATCCGAAATGACTTTTAAATAGGCCTGTGCACAGGTGAATGATTTCTTTATGTTGGCATTTCCCAAAATGTGTTCTGGGGAAAACCACAGATATTAATAGGGCATTTTTCAAACGTTTCTGTGGTCAAAATACTTGAGAAACACCAGACTAAACGAAATTGAGTCCCATTACTGCATGCCTTCTACAATTTAATATTCTATCATTAACTGTGTTAAGAGACTATAGCTCAAATCCCAAAGTTATTTGTCCCTCTCTTATTTTCTTCTCAGGAACACGTGGCATCCAGATTCACAAAAAGTGGTGGAAAAAAAAAAGAAACACATGATGGTAAAAGCTTCTTTATATGAAATACTCCCCAACACAATCTCATAGGGTAGTGCCAGAGAAGGTATATGGGTTTCACAAACGAACATATACCACTGCACAAATACGCACAGAGGGACAGGATGGCAGACATTATGCTCATTTTAAAATTGTGGACACTCGAGTTCAGAAAGTTTAGGCAGCTAGCTCCTATGGTGAGTGGCTGCCCTGGCAGAGAAAGAACCCAGGCTACTATTCTGCAAGCAGTACTCTAAAACCACGAGTCCCTCTTCGCCCTGCTAAGCGCCCCTGATTTTGCGTCTTCACTCTCCTTTCCACAGGGAGGACATTAGGACCCCTCCACCCCCGCACCTTCCGTCCTCCTTCCAACCGCACTGTCTGCATAGTTTCTTTCCTCCCCACTCTTCTTCCAGGCTCACAATTCCTCACCGCCGATCTAACTCTTCTCTCTCATATTTGGCCACAATTAAATACTACAGTACATTTTTTCTGTTGTTGTTTTAGTGACTTGAGCTTTTTAAATGGGGTAGTCAGTCGTTCTCTCAGATGCACGAACAACGGGCCCTAAACCACACACTTAAATTGGAGTGTCATCATTATTTTTTCGAGCCAGTTGGCCTCGAGGGGTTATAAAAAGGAATGATGTTCACAGCTTGGGAGTATTCGAGGGGCCGATCGCGAAGAGGTAGCACTTCGGGGCAAGGGACTCCGGAGCCACAGGCTTCCAGGTGGCCCCTGTGAAGCCTTCCGCCCTGGCCCCCAATTCCGCGGCGCGCAAGGCCGGTGGAGGAGGCCCCGTGTCCTCCCAGCAAGGCA